GTGTCTCCCTTCTTGGTCTGCCTGTCTGCGTTTCCTGTTCATTGTCAGGTGTTGTCCTGGTTCCTGCCGTTGTGCTTGTTCTGTGTGTCGGTTCTGTTCCCGGTCCCTCGATGTTTTTGCTATTGTCTTTTTCAGGTCCCGTGTCCCCAGTCTTGTCTCCTCCATTGCCTCCCCTGAGGCACGCCCAGAGTGCGTGCCTTTGGGGGGGGGAGGGGTGGTTCTGTCATGACCTGCTCGTCCGATCCTCCTGTGTGCCACGCCCCCCCTTGTTACCTCGTGTTAATTCCCGATTATGATCACCTGTTGCCTGTTATTTTCGGCTTGTCCTGTGTATTTGTTAGTTTCCCCAGATCTGTCATTTTGTTGCCATCTGCCGTGTTTTCCCATAATAAACCCGTTTATATTTGGATCCTCGTCTGCCTACCTTGTCCTTCCCCGCTTCCTGCCTGCTCGCCGAACTGCAAACATAACAATTGCCTCTCGCAGTGACAAAGTAGTGATGTAAAGAATTGTATCATCAGCAAATAAGTGTATTTTGTTGGTTTTAACCCCAAGCTAATATTGTTTATATAAATAGAGAATAAAACTAAAACTAAACTAAAACAGAACCTTGAGGCACTCCAGTTTTTACTATTTGTTAGGTAGAGTTACAATTATCTATAGCGAAACACTGTGTATTCCCAGTCAAATAATAGGAGAACCAATTCAATACAGTGTCACTAAATCCTGTACTCCGCAATCTTTGCAAAAGACAAGCATGATCAACAGTGTCAAATGACTTTGTTAAATCTATAAAAAAGAGCAGCGCATGTTTTTTTGTTGTCCAAAGCAGTAATTATATCATTTATAACAGAAGTTACTGCAGTTATGGTACTGTGACCCTGTCTAAAACCAGACTGAGTATGACATAAAATATTATCAGATAAAAATTCTTTAAGTTGTTTAACAAAAAATTCAAATAATTTGGCTGTGATGTGAAATAAGGTGAAAATTATCCAAAAAAGAGGAATCCCCACCTTTAGTGGAAGGACAAAGGCTGCCTTCCAGGAGCTAGAGATTAACCCACTACAGAGACTACGATTAAAAACAGAGGCAATAGGACCAACAATAAGATCTGCTGCTCTCTCTAAAAAAAATAAGGCTCAATCTCATCAGGACCAGCAGCCTTTTTGCAATCCAGATTTAATTACGCATTGCGAACTTGGGAGGCAGGAATTGTAAAAAGTTAAAGTTCACAGAACAATTAAAATTGATAACTGCACTATCCCCAGAATCAACTGGAAGATTATTCCTGCATTAATGAAATGTGTATTAAAAGCATCTACTACATTTTGTTTACTCTTAATTTTGCCTTAATTTATTCCTAGGAATTCAGGAGGAGTGGGAGGTGCCATATCTCCAGCAGATGATTTAATCAACTTCCAGAATTTAAGTTCATTTAGATTTTGATCTATCAGAGCAAGGTAGTACTCGCTTTTTGCATTTTTTTTATCAGGCTAGTGAGATTCAAGATCAAGATTCTTTATTGGTCACATACATAGTTATAACAAGTACAACATGTAGTGAAATGAACCCTGACCGTTCCAAAGACTGTGCAAAAAAGAGTAAACAAGAATTTAAAATTACAATTTACAATAGCTTAAAATATAAGTGCAGACAATATAAAAAGTACAGAGAAATTATAAGAATTAATTTAACAATATATACATAGAAAAAAAAAGTGGCAAGTGGTGACACTTGAGATGATTGTTGTGCAATATACAGTGAACAGAAATAAGTAATGTATTTAAAGTGCAGTGTGCAGTGAAGTTTGCCTTGATAAGTAGATTGCAGTTTACGCATCCGCTGTATAATATTTAAGAGGTAGTGGTGTCATGTCCTGGTTGAGATGTCTTACGGCATGAGGATAGAAGCTCTTCCTGAGTCTCTCTGTTTTTGCTGTAATATTCCTAAAGCGTTTGCCAGATTTGTGTGCCTGTCTCTCAATGCTCTGTAGTCCACCCATTGTTTAGCCTCGTTTGTTATTTTAGCTTTAACCCATGCAATATATAGCATATGCAATAGTATTGTTGAGCCATGGATTGTCTTTACCACTAACTCTGAATCTTCTCATAGGTGCATGCTTATTAATTAAAAACAGAAAAGTGGTTTTAAAAAAATTCCAAGCAACTTCACATCCACTATTTCGCTAACAAGATTCAAATCGTTATGAAATATATCGTGCAGGAAGACCTGCTCATTAAAGCGTTTGTAGGACCTTTTAAAAATAAATCGTGGCTTAAATTTGGGGAGTTTTGTGTTTTGGGCTCTGGAGAGGCAGCGGGAGTCGACAATGGCTTCCAGGGATGGCAGAGAGCAGCCCTCTGGAGGGCTCTCCTGTCTGCAGAAGAGCACCCTGCATACCACACTGTAATGCATTATGCCAGGATTCTTTCGATGGTGGAGTGATAAAAAGCCATAAGCAGCTTCTGATCCAGATTGTTTTTCCTGAGTACTCTCAGAAAGTGGAGTCACTGCTGTTCCTTCTTAGCAAGCATTGTGGTGTTTGTAGACCAGGAGAGCTTCTCAAAGATGTGTATCCTCAGGAATTTGATGGACCCCACTATGAACAGTTTCTAAACAAACTGAACTATTCACTCTTTCTTAAAACTCCACCCTCGGGTTTCACCTCACCCCGTGGCTTCTGCTTTCATTGATCTGCTAGATAGCTGATGGGCATTTGCGAGGCATCGCTGACTCTGTCCGATTGTGTATTTGAGCTAAGTTCCCTCTTCGCCATGACAGAACAGTACAGCATCGGCCTATGCTGGACCGATCCGTCTGTCAGTCTCCCACTCCCTTCTTCACTCACTCATGAATTAGAGCCCAAGATGCTTAAACTCCTCCACTTGGGGCAGCAACTCATCCCCCACCAGGAGAGGGCAATCCACCTTTTTCCAGTTGAGATACATGGCCTCAGACTTGGAGGTGCTGATCTGCATCCCAGTCACCTCACAATGGGACAAACTGACCAAGTGCATGCTGCAGGTCACTGGCTGACAACACCAACAAGACCATGTCATCCACAAAAAGCAAAGATCCTGAGGCCCCTGTACCGGACCCCCTCCTCCCTTGGGCTACATCTAGAAATTCTGTCCATAAAGTTACGGACACAATCAGTGACAAAGGGCAGACCTGACGGAGTCTGACTTACTGCTGGCAATGTGAACCAAGCTTTCACTCCATTTATACAGGGACCTGATGATATGTAACAATGGACCCCGTACCCCAAATTCCTGAAGGACCCCCCCACAGGACCCTCTGAGGAACACGATTATATGCATTTTCTTAGTCCACAAAACACATGTAGACTGGTTGGGCAAATTCCCATGAACCCACCAGTATACTTGTGAAGGAGAAGAGCTGGTCCAGTGTTCCATGACCAGGATGGAATCCACATTACTCCTCCTGGATCTGAGGTTCGACAAACAAATGGACCCTCCTCTCCAGCACCCTAACATAGACCTTACCATGAAGCCTGAAGAGTGTGATCCCCCTGAAGTTAGGACACATCCTCCAGGCCCCTTTCTTAAAAATTGGGACCACCATCCATCTGCCAGTGCAAAGACCCTGCCCTCAGAATCCACGCAATGTTGAACAGGCATGTCAGCCAAGACAGCCCAACAACACCAAGAGCTTTCAACAACCAGAAATCTCAGACTAGACCATTGTAACTCCTAGCTGGTCTGCCTGAGCGCCATTCGTCCCCTGCAACTGATCCAGAATGCAGCTGCCTGACTTGTTTGCAACCTTCCCAAGTTGTCCCACACCACATAATTGTTATGCTCCTTCCACTGGCTTCCTGTAGCTGCCCACATCAGATTCAAAACACTGATGCTCGTCTACAAATCCAAAAATGGTCTAGCACCCTTCTGCCTAAAAGAACTAATCATTCTGCACTGATTTTATGCAACACACACAAAAAAAACATATTTGTGGATAGTTAGATATTTGTAGCTCATGGTACATATTCGTGGATTATCTTCTGTGTGTTACAAATAATAAAGTCCAATAAAATCTTCCATAAATACCAGTATTTAGTAATCACAAAAACCAGTGCAATAATAATAAATCCTTTTTATCTTATTCATCCAAACTATTTATATTTACAATGCCACCAGAAAGTATTCACACCCCTTCACTTTTTCCACGTTTTGTTACGTCAGACTAATTCAAAAATAGATTTGAGTATTCTTTTACAAATTCTACACAAAATGGTTCATAATGGCATAGTAAAAATATGTTTTCAGACATTTTATTTAAATGTATAAATAATGTAAACATTTAAACATAATAGGTAGATAAGTATTCACACCACTTGCTATGACACTAAAAATTGAGCTGCGTTGCATCCGATTTCCACTGATCATCTTTGATTCGCTTTTACAACTTGATCGGAGTCCACCTGTGGTAAATTCAGTTTATTGGACATGATTTGGAAGGGTACACACTTGTTTATATAAGGTCTCACAGTTGGCAGTGCATATCAGAGCAGAAACCAAACAATGATGTCCAGGGAATTGTCTGTTAACCTCCGAGACTGGATTGTGGCAAGACACAAATATGGGGAAGGATACAAAACAAATTTGGCAGCATTGAAGGTCCCGAAAAGCACTGTGGTCTCCATGTCTTCCGGTGACGAGTGAACGCTGGCATGATTTACTGCCGCTGCTCGTTTTGGTAAACTTATGAACTGTTATCCGATTTTTATCCAATTTTGTACGGATTTCTTAACCTAAGATGTCGCTACAACTGTTTTTATGGCTCGTTTGTGTCTGGTTCCTTTTGCTACCTGCTCTCCTGCCAGTGACGGGTTTATACCAGTACACAATTACTGACCTGATTTGGCTACGGAGTCATTTGCTTGTCCCCCCGCCAGCTGTACTGCATCTCCACCTGGATATCATTTACTATGCACGGCGGAGATACAACCATCGAGGCTCCCGTCGGAATCTCAACTCTTACAGCTCTACAGCCATAAAGTCCATCTGGTCCAGCTCTCGACGTACACGCTTTGTCAGCCGTGCCGTCAACCACAGCGTGTTAGCCCGCCTAGGCCGGTCGGCTAGCACTTTTAGCTCGGACAAGACTCCACTCAAGTGCGCTCTTCTCAACGTTCGTTCTCTGTCAAACAAGGGACATATCATCCGGGATCTCATCATTGACCGTGAGTTAGATTTTATATTTTTAACTGAGACCTGGCAACAACCTAATGACTTTTCACTGCTCAATGAAGCTGCACCACCAGGATTTGTTTA